AGTTGTGCTTGCTAAGCTTTAAGTGTAACTTATATTTATAGTCTTAGTCATTATTATGAATGAATAGGATTTTGGTATCCGAGCTACTAACTATAGAGAACTCGTATCTTCTTAGAAGATTACAACTTTAAATTTAGGCTCACTAATCAGATTAAATTTATCCCATAAACATAATAATAAAAACTATTAAAAATTATATTACTAATTGAGTACTTACGAGAGGGGTGACAAGGATAAACCTGTCGCTTTGGGTTGTTGAATTTCATATTAGCTATACACCAAAATGGCTTTGGCCCCCGACTATCCTATCACACCCCCAACCAGGAGCGGAAACATCAGGATATGCGACATTCGATATTGAATCATGGATATTGAACTGTACATAAACAATATATAATATAAATATCACTTCCATTATGGGATAAATATTACATTGATGTATATTTCATAACATTAGGACTTTAAATACAATTGGTGCCTTGACATTTTGGTATAATAATACATGATAAGAATAACAAGCTCCCAGTGGTTCCATCGATCAAAACTTATTTCAAGGAGAGCAAACTTCCATCTCTTGATTTCTTAGGAATACATGTAGTTTGGAAAACGTCAACATAATGTCGATGAGCTCATAAGTTTTATATATTGAAAACACTTTTTATACAAACTTTATTTAGCCGTATTTAAGTATTTTTAAACTCCAATATTGATGTACTTGTAAAGAAAAAGTGTCATTGTAAAAAGGGAACTTGATACAAAAAAGTTGTATTTTAGCGTACATAAGAACTATTTCAACTTTTGTGCTTCCATTATTGTTCGTAGTATAAATAATGTATATGAATACTACTATTTCTATTATGTGTTCCCATATTGGTGGTTGTAACTGTTATGATTATCAATTTCTTTAAGGGTCTTGGAAAATTTTACAATAAGTTCCCATAATCAATCTATTGATGTAAGAATATGCCCCCATACAACGCTTCACCGGACATCGTAAAATTTTAGAGAGTTATCCTTGCATTGACTTTACTGCGGTTGAAGCTAACCACCACAGGTGGGGGTGTCTACCCCGTATAGATGTACACATAACTCTCCCGCTCACTTAAGACTGAGGATTACATGCCGGGGTTTTAGCTAAAGTTAATTTGCTAAGGTGATGAATTGTTTCCTCATTTAACATCTGTTTTGTTTAGCCATTAATGTATGAAAAGGATTTCAATGCGTTGTTGTACAAATATATATACTATTTCTTTGGGGCACTCTACCAAGTTACTCCTTTGAAGACAATTCCCCTTTCAAATGTTTTATTATATATATATATATATATATATATATATATATATATTATATATATATATATATATATATATATATATTATTTTTTGTTCAAAAATTAACGGGCAGAGTAATGACACGATATTGAAGCTATAAATCTGCCAAGAGTAACGACCGGTTACAATGTTTATAAAAGTTGGGCAAAGTAATAGCTAGTTACAATGCTATTTGTAAATGTTGGGCAGAGTAACAACCAGTTATAATTCTTATCCATAAAAGTTGGGTAGAGTAACGACTAGTTACAATGCTTATATAAGTTGGGTAGAGTAGCGACAAGTTACAATGATATTCGTAAAAGTTGGGCAAAGTAATGACCGATTACAATGCTTATCCACAGTAGTTGGGTAGCGTAACGACTAATTATAATGCTATTTATAATAGTTGGGCAGAGTAACGACTAGTTACAATGCTATCCATAAATGTTGGGCAGAGTAATGGCCGATTACAATGCATATACATAAAATTCAGGCAGAGTAACGACTAGTTATGAATCTATTTATAAAAGTTGGACAGAGTAACAACCAGTTACAATGCTATACATAAAAGTTAGGCAAAATAACGACTATCCATAATATTATCCTATGAATTTGTATAGGATAACGACTACACATAAAATATTGACTTATAATATAAAAATGAACGATATTTATATAATCAATAATTTGTATGCATCCCCCCCCCCCCTAAAATTTTAGAAAAGCTTTGAAAAAAAAGGTTGTGAAACTTACCCTCTTAGTGTGGTTTTCGAGCTTCGGGAGGCTGCGTTGGAAGCACCAGGGGCTCGATATTGCTCAGGAGGGAGAGGAGTTAGATTTTTAGAATGGATGCTCTGATTGTGGTGTGAGAATAGAGCAAGCCTTGACCTGATATTTATGGCATGTTTTGGAACGTGCCCCGTACATTTTTGTGGGTACGCACTAGGTCTACCCAAGCACGTACACCAATTGCTTCCCCACACGAAGAACACCTCTCCTGCATTTTCACAATTTTGGTTTTTAGAAGACGGGTCAATTCGTTTCGTGTAGGGCTGTAAACGAACACGAACAAGGTCTTGTTCATGTTCGTTCGTTTAAGTTAGCCGAACAACAAACGAACACAAACGGATAAACGAACGAGATTTTCTTGTTCATGTTCGTTCGTTTAACAAATTACTTTGTTCATGTTCGTTCATTTATGTTCGTGAACATGCTAAACGAACATAAACGAACAAAAATAAACGAACAAACATAAACGAACAAAGATAAAAAAAAAACACAATTGAACATATATGAACATAAACGAACATATAATATAGCAATATAATAAAAATAATTGAATATAGATGAATATAAATAAACTTAAACGAACGAACATAAACGAACGTAAATGAACATCATAAACGAACGTTCACGAACATAAATGAATGAACGAGACCATTGTTCATGTTCGTTCATTTAACTAAACGAACGATAATTTTTGTTCATATTCGTTCATTTATTAAATAAACGAACATAAACGAACTTCCCGCTGAACAGTTCACGAACGGTTCGTCGAAGGTTCAGTTCGTTTATAGCCCTAGTTTCGTGCGTTTGGCGCCGAAAATGTTGATTTAGTAAAATTTGTATCTTCTGCACACAGACTCCGTTTCCAGCGTCCTTTATATCCATGCGATAGTCTTGACGAGTAATACAACTTTCTTTTCGGTTGTTTTAGATAACTCCAAACTTATTTTTAGCCCATTATTCGTAAAGAGGGGGTATCCAAAATGATTTTATAAAAATCATAACTTTCTCATATGGATTCTATTTTGGCGCTCTGTATCTCGTTGCAAATATATCGAGGAGTATTACGAATCTTCTTTTGGGTGCTTAGGCTGAAACTTGACCAGTCCCTATTTCACAAATTACGATTCTCCCATCGTCATACGGCTGGATTAATAACTTAGAAAAGTCATAACTCCTCCATATGAAGTCAGATTCTGACGAAATTTATATTTTCAGAATCAGGGAGACATGTACTTTCAGAATATGTTATTATGTACACAAAATAACATGACCTTTTGGCTGCTTATCTTTATAGTTTTCGAGCATTTTCACTGAGTTTTTTATATACTGGAATACAAAATCTTGTATTTTCATAATAGATTGACAAATATTATATATTTAGTCTGTTATCTTTGATGTTCGTCGGGTTTGGGATCGATGATGGGTAACAATTTTGGTGATTGTCACATATCCTTGCTTGATAGTCATAAAGTACTGGACAATAATTAATAAAACATACAAACAAACATCATATATAGAGTTATATATACAACTCAGACCGTCGATTAGAACACTTATATATATATATATATATATATATATATATATATATATATATATAATATATATATATATATATATATTTCCACACAAAGAAAACTTGGACCCTCGATGAGAAAACAACTCAAGCATTTAGGTCAAATACATTATCTAAAGTTAGTATAGTTGTGATAGTTGGAAAAACTAGGTCACTGTTCGCCGGTCAGAATCACCGTGAACACCGTAAGTAATAGACCTAATGTAACGTATACCATTCATTTTAATTCAATTGAAGCTATTTTTATACTTTGAAATGCATACGAAATACCACTTTAGTCTCCGATGGATGTAAATTTTAAACAAAAGAACACTATTCCCAATACATAAGTAACGAATTAGTACATTAAAAAAGATTTATGTATTAAGTATTTTTTTATGTTCAATTAATATACTAAACAGATAGGACATGAAAATATGATTATCTGGATATATAGAACATCGAAAATGGAGATCATAGACAAAAGTTGCGATAATTTAAAGAAAACAAATCAGTATAATAATTGATTTTTCTGTAAACAAACTTTAAATCAATTCATTGGAATAGCTACGTATTCTATTAAGTAATTTTGAGAACATTTTTGTCATCAGATGATGCTCTAGCATTTGATTCCAGTTTCGAAAGTCTCATATCTCGAAGTTATAACACTTTTATGAAAATTGTTGAATCATCACAACCGAAAAATACTAAATAACGACTTCAAACACATTTTTGACATAGTTACTCTATTTGTTAGATGAATATTTTCACATATTCGAAACCACCATTTCTTGGACATTTGACAAGTATTTTCAAAAAAAGATTAGGTGTCATTTTCATCGAACGTTTGGATGCGGATCGAGGAAGAGACAACTGTCTCCATTAGAATGGTGACACGTGTTGAGCATTTGGAGGTGCCACTTGTCAAGCCATGAATGAATACACTTGTCACACTCTTATGGAGCTGCTTGTTGCAAAACGGGAAGTGTGTGAGAAATATAAATATCGATAAATTCTATATTATGCGATAAATCAATGATATGGAATAATGATGATTGAAAGTAGTCAAATTCTATTAATCTCAGCCATAGAACAGTTCTTGAAGATGAAACTATTATTTTTATGCTGGAAAGACGTAACCCTAAAAGTTACATGCACATGCTATATATAGACAATATAAGACAACAATTCCGAAAATGGGCATGCCCCATTTTGGAATCAGAATCAAACACAAAATTGGAAAACAAACATTTGACACAACTAAAAATAAGTCTTAACAATCTCCCCCTTTGTGTCAAATCGGAAGGAGGACTTCTTTTATGCCTTTGAGCTTCAAAAATCTTCGGTTAAATCTTCAGAAGGGATGTTCGGACAGCTATATACCTACGAATCATGTCCGAAACGCATTTAACATCCCCGGCGGAGTTTGAACTGTTCGCTTCTGCCCTTGTAAGAATAGAGTTCGGAGTAATTGTAGAGTATAAATTTTTATCTCTCAAAAAAACATGTCGTTCTTCATTTCATCACCTTCTTTCATCTTGAAAACGCTGCTCCAATGTTCCTTGTCAAAGAATCCACCTTTTAGATGTTGGATGTCTTCTGGTTGATCAAATTGGTTTAGAATTGGTCTCTTCTTCAAAACATAAGCAATCCCAACATCTATTTTTGCAATTTCCAAGATGTAAGACTTGATCATCCTCCTTAAGTAGCCAAAAATAGGCTCATATTTCTTCCCATCTTTCGCAACAATGTAGAACAAGGAGATCCAGTCGTAAGGGTTCATGAATGCAAGATCGGCCAAAGTGAACTCGTGTAGCACATGATTGGCACCTCAGAAACCCTTGAATTGATATTCAGAAATTCTTATGTCTGAACCGACAATCCAACCTTCAATCCCATAATTCTTCTTATGCTCTATGTTTCGTATTGTGGTTTCACATTCTTCAAATAAAACAAGAAGAGCTTTCTATTCATAGCACTATTGGAGATTGATGATTTTTTTTATCTTTTTGAAACGTTGGAAAAGAAACACCCTTGGAGTGATAGGCAGATCCAATTGACACTCCACATCATTATTTGTGTTAAAGGAGGTTGTTGGCTCCAACCAGTAGAGATTCAGATCGTCAATAGCTTCTTTTTGAATCCTTTCAAGAGACCAGGCAGGAAACAAGGATTTTTGATTTTCAAGAATTGGTTTTGTATTTTTGATATCAGCCTCTTTTGCATCAACTTTTTGCCTGAGAGCATCGAGTTCATCAAGCTCTTTGTCTCTTCTTTCTCTTGCTTCTTTTTCTAATTCAGTCATAACTACATTTTCTTCGATATCCTCTTTAGAAACAACTTTTCCCTTTCCAAATCCAGAAGCTTCATTATCCTTCGGATCAGATGCCCTTTTCAAGATTTCTCCTCTTCTCCCCCTTGTTTCAAAGAAGCCTCGCTTCCTAAAACACCCTGGATCTGATTAAGCAATGTGAACACATGATTGAGCTTTTTAGAGAGAGAATAACACGCCAAGTTAGTGAATTGAGCATTTCGGTTCTTAGTTATTCTCAACAACCATTGGTTGTTTTCGGAATTACGAGATTTAAAAAAAAGTTTATCTTCTTCAAGATTTTGAATAGTAGTTGAAGCATTCTTCATCTTTTCATTAAGAACCTTTGTTTTCTGTCTTTGCTCTGCCAGAGCATCCATAATCTTGTTTTCAGCAGCCAAGTCATTTTGTAACTTGGTGAGCCGTGGAGTGATTGATAAATTGAGATCAATATTTTCAAGCTTAATGTTTGCTCGAAGGGATGAAAGAGCGTCTTTTATGGCTTTCAAAGAATATCTAAAACCTTTTAAGATCTTGCTCATATCTGTAATACACTTTTAAGAAGTGGTCCGGAAGTCAGCCATGAATTCCTTGACTTTTTTTTGTAATTGTTGGACCTTTTTTGTAGCTTATGAGATTCTCTTTTCTGAAGCTTGAGCAACCATTTTTGCTTCTTCAAGGACATTGGTATTGGAATATGTGAGCATTTCCATTGTTGCTCTATGAGTTATCAGCAGGTTTTCCCATTTAGTGGAACTACAAAATTGAATTAAGCTTTTCGTTCAGTTGCTTGAACTGAGCTTGTCAGCGGTGCCTCATCATCATCATTGTTGATGTTAACTGTGAATGGGTGAAAGACAAAGTCGAAAATTGGATTATCATCATCTCCAAATAGAATTTTAGTATCATCATCAAACGGAGGAATAGAAGATGAAGGTTCTTCTTAAGTCACACCAATGTTGGCATTTGGCCCCATATCAGATATGTTTCCAGTGATGCCTAAAGTCCTTATCTCCTACAAAATGGATTCGATAACCAAAACTTCCGGTGGGGTGGAGGTAGTTGATTTTGTAGGAACTATTTAGTTTATGAAGATGGGTGAGGAAATTGGGATTGAAATTGATGGAAGTGATGTTTCAATAGAACTTGTATGTGGGAGAGGAGGGATAGATGATATCGGAATAGATGTGGTGATGGGTGAGGTGAACATTGGAATGTTAGAGGATTGAATGGAGGTGGTGGAGGTGTAGTGGTGAGGTTCAAAAATGGTTCTTGAATAATCATTTCAAAAATATCAGATGTAGGAATGGAGGATGATGGTGGAGAAGATACCTTCTGAATTGTTTCAACATGTGTTGGCTCGGAAGTTTGAGCGGTATCATCCTCTTCATTTTGGAGAATTGAAGTCCGCTAAATATCTAATTCGGTCCTTTCTTTAGATTGCTCTTCCAGAACAGGAGATGGAGACCGTGGTTTCTGAAATTGTTTCTTTGACTTCTTAGGAATTTTGATAGTCTCCGAAGGAGTAGCCTTTTCCTTCTTTTTACCTCCCCTTTTTGGTTTGTCGCCTTCATTAATGATCTTCCGTAATTCCCCAGGCATAAGACGAACACCTGAAGAGGGTAATTTCCGATAAGCCCAAATAATTATTGTGTCCAGTGGTACCTTCTCCAACAAGGCATCCCATAATTGAACCAATAAAGTCAAAGTTACGTGGATCCGACATAAAAAATATGGTCATTTGGAGCATCTGTATTTCAAGCATTAGAGAACCTTGCATCAATGTCACTTTGAAATGATCTACGGCTCGGTTGACAATAATAAACCAGAAACAAGCACATGAAATTTCCATTTGTCGCGTGTATGACGAGTTTCTTTAGACAAATTGAGCCCAAATAACAGACCCAAAGTCCAAGTTCATTCCATGGTATAGATCATAGATTAAAGTATAGAACAGCTTGATGGCACTATCAGATCCTGAAACCCTTTCTGATAAGCTTTTGAACAAAAGGGTAAACAATCCATTCCACATCGGCGGTAAGAAGGATTTTATGAACTTCAATAACAAAGAAATGGCACCAGTGTACCCCATCTGGAAGAACATCTCAATCAAATAGGTTGCAAGAATCGATTTTGGATCAACAATGACTTCAGGCGGAACAAGCCTTAGAATTCTGAAGAAATGGGCTTCGTGATCGAGGTCTTGTGGTTTGATACCTCAAAATAGATGATATCTTCACTATTGTTGTAGATTGCGGTGGAGAAGGATTTAGAGAGATAAACAAGAGGAACACTTTCATCCATTGTTAAAGTCTTCATCAATAGAGAAAACTTCAAGCATTCGATCAAAGGTATAATCAAGCCATTGTATCGAGACGCATTAAGGTCGATGATGAGGTTATGGTTTGGTTTGACAGCCAACATGATCACTGATGCAGATTGATCACCAAACGAAACATGCTCTGAGGAAGCTACAAAAGTTTGAAGAAGAAGATGAATAGTAGAGGGATTTGCTTTTTCTTTGAAAATTCGTGAGTAGTGTTTGTGGTGAGAGAAAATAAAACGTATGAAAACCTTTTTATAACAACCCGTTTGAAAAGTACTTAAATTGTGGTTTCGGAGGCCTAGGGTATAAGAGATTCGGTTGTTTTGGGGTATCAAGTTTTATCTAGAAGGTTTTAGGCTTAGGGGTGTGGCTAGGAGCATAGGGCTTCCCGACACCTTTTCATGGATATCAAGTTCGTCGGAAATGGACTTAGAACGAAGGAGTTATAGCACTTTGAAGTTTTGGCATTAATGGTCCCTAATGGTAATGTTTGGAAAGCAAGTCCCATGCATGCAAGGGAAACATGCACATGTTCATTTGGATACGCCCAACGTAGTGGAGTAAATGATCGCGGGTGTGGGAGGAGTACGCCCAACGTACGAGAACTACGTCCAGCTTACTCTCAGAGACCCAAAACCGTAATTTTTAGGGCATGCCACTATATAAGGAATATTATGGCTCAAACCCTAGCTCCTTATCAGCCTCCCCAACCTCAGAGAAACCCTAGAATGCCTCATCCCTTCATTCTTGTGTAATTTTGATCTTGAAAAGCCCATTTTGGTGGTTTTAAGCTTGGAAGAGGAAAGAAGAAGTTGGCAAGGAAGGATGTTGGAAGTTTGAGCTCATAGATCTGGGATAACATCATCATTTGGGACTCTTTGGAGGTATAAATATCATAAATTTACATAAGAATGCATAGATCTAGTTTACTTTGGTTTTGAAGTCATTTTGGTCCAAAGGATGAAGCTTTATAGTCCAAATCACCCATAGTGCTAAATGACTCCCGAGGTCAGAAGTTGCCATCTTGAATGTGTTATTAGGTTCATGCTTGAGTTAAGAGCATTTCTATGAGAATGGAATATCATTTTTGGAGTTTGGACTTGTTTAGGGCATTCAAAGTCACCAAGTCAGTGACTTTATGGATTAAGACGTTGAAAAGGATTTGGATCTGTGTTTGTAGGTTCTGAAGTAGAGTATTAAGCACTTAATGTGAAAGTGACTTAACATGGGGTACGTTGAGCATACCTGCAGGTACACCCAGCATTCACACCATTTGGCTAGTACGCTTAGCGTACATAGGAGTACGCCTAACGTACTCATCAGATATTGGTTTGGGCCTTAGTTTGGGCCATGCAAGGGGATTTTTGTTCTTTGGGCCTGAGTGGGCCATCAGAAGTCAGATAATGTGGGCCAAATAGATGTTTTGGCTTA